CAGGAGCCAGGTGACCAGCCTGAAACCTATCACACCCTGGTAGGGCCGCGGCTGTTTGTTCGCGACTGCTTATTTGTTGCTGCATGCCACAGCTTATTCACAGTTAACCTTCTTCGGTGAAGGTATCCCCCTATCCACAACCCGGGAACACGTCGGGTAGCATTCAGCTCTGCTTAACCTGCAGCATTTTTTCCTGAAAACTTCAGAATTGGTCCTCACATCCATTAAAAGTGGTGTTGAGAACGGGCGAGAAGCCCGAACTATACTGCAGTGGACCGACAAAATGAAGGAGGCCGCTTTGTGNTTTCACCAAGATGTCGATCCTGGGCAATACACTCGACTCAAGTTTTCATCAGATGAACTCCGGGAGCGTCGGGTCAAAGACATGGTGGGCCTTTACGCAACGGATTTTCCGGTAAGTAATAGATGCGTTCAGACACTGTTGGGGCGTGTGAATCGTTCCGTCCACCAAATGAGCTATCGTGTGCACACTTAGTCATTATCCCTCGGTCTGTGTTAAATGTATTTCGCACTCTTAAGGCTCACTGACCGGGATGAAATCGGTTTTACCAAGTCCGTAAACATGCCTAACATCGCACCGGCTGAACTGCTGTGGCATTTACTCGATCCTTCACAGACAACCGGATGTCGTGGCTGTGCCACAACTGTCTCAAGTTGACAAATGCCAATCGCTAATTCTATATGCGTGCGGACACTTCACCTATGAAGCCTCAACCGGGTAAGATGTAATTGATTAAGTAGAAAAATGTGTCTACTTACCCTGCCACTTCCTCAGTGAGGGTGAAGCTGGGAGGTGTACCAACCCAGTTCTTGAGCAACATTTTACAAACCGAAGGTGCAAAACGCTTACCAAACATGGCTGCACTGGCATCCAAACTATCCAGAACAGTTTGCAGCTTACCTGAATCTTCACTTAGCAGCACAAGGTCGTCTGCATACTCCAGATCAGACTGTCTATCACCTGGGAACAAATCGATGCCATTATCCTCACTGTTTCAATAATTAAATCTATAACGTTTTAGAAACAATGTTGATCGTGCTAATTCCTATGTGGTTTTCACAAGAGGACCGGTCACTTTTCTTATAAATGACCGATCCACACGATTCGTTTAAAGTTGTTGCCTCTCACACTCTGAGCTCAGGAGTTTCGTTAACTCGAAAATCGAATCTGAACCACCGGGGTTATAAACCGATCGGAAAATCCCCCGTCTGGACTCTAAGACTTGTACCTTTTGAGGTAAATAGTTTCCTGGGTAACCTCCATTTCAGTTGGAGGAGTGATATCTGCCGAGTTTATTTGTTCAGCTGAATTAGGTTTTGGCGGAAGTGGGAGGGGGGGGAGGTTGTATCGAATGGGGCCAGATGAACTGAGCCGTAATACGTTCTACTCCTCGTTCAAGACGACGTTGCCGAATAGGAATCAGTGTGCCGTCAGACGCCTGGGTTACCTCACTTACACCGACTTTCCTAATTAAACGAAAAAGGTTGCGACTATTTCCGATAAACGCAACTTTCTCCATCGCGCTACACTTTTCCATCCACCACTTCTTGCGGCCATTCCTCAGGCTCTTGATGAGTTGGCGTTTAGGGTTTTGCGGGCTTAATCGTATTTTGCATCAGAAGTGATGGCTTTGCACTCTGCCGGCAAAACTGCCGAGATCGATGATATCCGTCGTCCATGTTTTAATCGCGGAGTTTCTCCATTTCTTTTTCGTCATTTTTGAGGCTGTAATGATTTTTTTAAGCCATTGCACATTGAAAAACAATAAAAAACAGAAACACTGAAAAGATGTTTTTTTCCTTTTTTGTGTTATTTGTACATCATCCCAAATGAAGGATGCCTCTTTTTTAAATGGGAATTCGTCATGTATATAGCAAATGAAGCGTGAACTGAAAAGCTAGGAAGCACTGGGCAGTTGTTTCAACCTGGTAGGGTCTCATCAGCAGTGCGAATCCATCAACTCAGTTGTCCCGTGTAGGTGAGCGAATTCAGCAAACTTGTTCCAAATGAGATATTTTGCTTTATGGATGACAATTTAACCATATCCTGACCGTTATTGACAACTGTCCTCAACCGAACACCGTCTTGTGGAATTATAACATTAGAATGTTTCTGCGAAGAATTAGATTTAGTTCATAATCACTGGAAAGATTTATGATTCCCAACAAAGGACACTGGACAGCTGTTTGGTCCTGTTTAATACTCCGCGGCGGCGGTTACATTTTGTGTCCCTGCTTGAACTCGAACCGAGAACCTTCGGGTTGGAACTTCAGACCCTTACCCCTGAGTTACACAGTCTACGGCCATCACCTCGTGCGAATGGTTTTAGCAATTGAAAGCAGCCACTTTGGAATAATCCATTCGGTTGTTCACAGTCACCAGGCGCTGTTGATGGTCGGTCTTGGGAGCAGGTTTCCCTCCTGTGGAGATCGTTAATCTCCCGATCAGGACCATCAACAGTACCCAGTGCCTGTGAACAATGAACGAATGGATTTACAGTATCAAGTTTGGATTTGTTTGGATATGCTGACCACTCCCAAACAGAACGATTACAGCTGTCCAGTGCTCTTTGTTAGTCATCACAAATTTACCACTCTCAGACTTAGTTGGTTCAGCCCGATGAAATGTGCTCAGCACTTTCAGCTTCGTCCTTGTAAAGCGGATTGCTGTGAATTTTGTTTCTTCTTGTTCATCAACAAAAGGTCATAACAAACATGTCAACTATCCGTCAGCAAATGCACACACACACACACGATTGGGTGGGTGAACGTATTGTTGAGTTGCAAACCTACCCTGACCCATTTTCACCGAAATAAGGTACGAATAAATCGTAGGGGATTTGTTTCCACTTCTTAGTGTGTGGCTCAACTCCCCTCCCAATGTACCTGATAGTACACACATGTTATTCACCAGATTTGTTGCGAACAGACCACGATGGGGAACTATGGCAGGGCGGAATTTCGGATATGAGACCACTACTACTAATACTACTTAAATCTAGTTAAAGACAAGTTTCAATTGTTTTCTGTAAAATGGCTCCTGTTGAATTCTGTCGTTCCAAACGAACCCAATGTATCAATTATTACGTATGTACAATCTGTGTGGTGAAATTAACACCGAAACCGACGTAGAACATGGTGAACGTCATGCTCACCATTCTGTGCTCGGCCACGGTTTGAGTTTGTTTACACGAATCTCAGCGTCCAAAATCCTTACGTACTTTGGATCATCATCAATCAAAACCCCCGGTTTTCGAGTTTCAACCTCTCCGTGTTTTTTCCACATAAAGCGAATACTTAAAGCATTGAAGCTGTCTCGTGTACATACAAATTTATCTCCATAACTTCGTCTGTATCGGTTAGTTCGTAAATTCCAATAGCAAATCACAACTTGATGGATGACTTCTCTTCGTGCACCACCCTCATCCCTCTGTCCCAGTAACACGGAATAATCTCACGGATGAAGTGGTCAATAAACCACTGCATCCGAAGCGCAATATATCGACCTGGTGTACTTAATTTTCAGTACTGTCAGAATCGTGAACAGATTAAATTCAAGACAATTTGTACTAAAAAAATAAAACTGAGGTGCACCTACCTCTAGGGAGAAGTGGAAGCCCAAATGGCCAATATTTTTAATGTTTGAGAAATCTAGTGTGATCGAATCAAGCTAAATGTCTATTTTTATTTCGTTTTTTTTTATTTATTGAATGTACAAATGTATAGTCAACTTCCAGGAAGGGGCTGCGGCCATATAAAGACTGTCTGGGAAAGTACAGAAATAGGAAAAACGGGTGGCGGCGGTGGAGCGGTTCGAATCCGAGATTCCTAAGTCATCATACATTCATTTTTTTTGATTTAGTGACTAGGTGGAAATCAGTGCCATTTTTGTTTCGCACGAATCACATTTAATGCCTGAAAACACTTGGATAATTGCATCTGTGACAGCCTTGCGCTAGATTGCGAGTAGCGCAATTTCAAGGCACCACTTGGATTCAGACCAAGCTGCTCAATAAACAGATGTCTCATGGACTACTAAGCCTTCGTGTACAATTTCAGTTGCTTTTATTCTTTAATGCGACTAACTAATCTATCCCGTTCGAATTTATCTGTCTCTTATCCAAAGACTGTTATTCATCTACCTCGTCCTAATTCATTCAACGTTTTATCGAATAAAACAATTTACATTAGCATTTTCAGGAAGAGGACCACCGCAAAGGGAACAGTGTCAGAGGATGTTGGGTGATATCGATGGGGCTCGAACACGCGACCCCTTGTCTAATGTGATAGTGTTATATGCCACCTAACCGACTCGGATTACTGCAGTGATTTTCATAATTTGTTCGCTATCAAATCGTTTGGCTATGATTCAGTATCTTTCACGCTTCATTTAAGTATGATAGAATATTTCTCTAATGAGTAATCTATAAATGAATGGACGAAATTTCCCAGAGGCACAACCGGTTTCGCACTCCTTGACACTCATCAGGAATGTGTATCCGGTAATCTTTTACGTGGTCATTCTTGTACTTGAACACTTATTGCGAATTTGGCAACGCGAATCTCATTTGCAGCTCGGAGAGATGATTCAAAACGAATAAGCCTCGAAGACTGTTTGTTCCTCAACATAGGCCTGGAATTCGGGGGGATTGCGAAGTTTTGTGAGGAAAACCAAGGCTCGTGTAGTTTACGTCGATGCGGAAATTCAGCTGCGTCTACTAGCACATAACTTATTATAGCACGTGTTATATATTTCATTGTGTGCTAACCCCATTTGTGTGTACGCTTGGCCAAAGATGCGCATTATCGAACGGGATCGCACACATTGGCAAATCCGTACCCAGATGACATTTTTTTAGAGTGATTTACTCTTTCCAAATGTGATACGCCTGTTTGGTTATCACATAATATTCCTTAAAAATGCAACAATCTACACTACCACAAGGAAATAAAGCTAGCTGGTAGATAGTTCACACAAATACGGGGATTGGACAACCGCAAGTTGTTTTACAGACGTGTACATCAATCGCTCACAAGCAAAAACTGTTACAGCACCCAGTAACCAACTAAACTGATAAAGAGCGCTTTGTGATTGTATAAAGTACATCTATAGACACTGTTGCCGCAAGCATCACTGAATTCCTGTACGACCCCGATGCAGGAACTACATTTGATTCCTGGTTCAAACGTTGGGAAAATGTATTCCGTTTTGAATTCGCAGATGCTGATGATGGATGGAAGGTGCGACTACTGCTCCGAAAGCTGGGAACCAAAGAACATGATCGTTACACCGACATGATCCTGCTCNATTTCACTTCCGAAGAAACGGTCCAACAACTTTCAAACACGTTTGGTGAAAAGACGTCTTTGTTCAGTATCCGGTATCACTGCCTCAAATTGGCGAAAAATGATACAGATGACTATCTGACACTAGCTAGAATTGTGAACCAGGAGTGCGAGAAATTCCAGTTGCGTTCCATGACTGATGACCAATGTAAATGCCTGATATTTGTGTGCGCACTTCAGTCTCCGCGCGACGCAGAAATCCGCACTCGTTTACTAAATTGCATCGATCCTAACATCAATTTACGGACATTAACAGACGAATGACAGCGGCTAGAGAACCTCAAACATGACTCAACCATCGTTGAGCAACGCAGCCCGGTTACAGCTTCATCCAATGTCCATGCTGTCACAAAGCCGTGGTCAATGTCTACCGGAAAGCCGCAAGCAGCCTCTACCCGAAGACCCCCCACTGCATGTTGGAAATGCGGAGAATGGCATTACGCACGCCACTGTCCCTTCAAGAAACATCTGTGTCAAAAATGCCGCAAACGAGGACACAAAGAAGAATACTGTCACGCTAAACTCCCTTCTACGTCAAAGGGATGTGACAAGCCAAGTCGACTCAAATCATCATCGACAAAGTTTGAACCCAAAAGTCAAGCGATCGTGTCTGCTGTCGAACCTGAAATGGAAAAAGGCGCAAGTATCTCGCTGTTCGCATCAACGGTGAGCCAGTACGCCTGCAAATTGACACCGCTTCTGACATAACTTTGATCTCAAAACGAACTTGACACGCTCTCGGGAGACCCCCATTCAATCTGACCAGCAGGAAGGCATTGAACGTATCTGGCGGACAACTACATCTCATTGGTGAGCTTGTGTGTGACGTTTCGTTCAAAGCATGCAGATAAAAGGAACCTGTTACCTCACCAACAGACACTGGCTGAATTTGATGGGTCTCGACTGGACTGAAAAGTTCCGTCTTCTGGATGTACATCTGAACAGCGTCTGTCAACGAGTATCTATACACACCGAAAGTTCGTCCTCTCCCGAACACTTGTCTGCAAATCTGACGGCAACCCTCAAGGAGAAGTTTTCATCAGTGTTCCAAGATGGTTTGTGATGTTGCACCAAGACCCAAGTTCATCTATGCCTCCGTCCGGATGCAAAGCCTGTTTTTCGATCCAAGCGCCCAATGACATATGCGTCATTGCCAGCAGTTTTTTCTGTGTTCTGTGAACGATCTGGCATACAGCACGTCCGTGCGCCACCTTACCACCTCCAGTCAAACGGTCAAGCCGAACGTTTCGTGGACAC